CTTATTTTAGTTTATGTTATTGCTTAAACTATTATAAATAGTTTTATTCTACTAAAAAGTATTTTTTTTATTTAATTAAATTTAATATCTTTATGATTATTTTATTTTTACTATTTTTCATTAAAAACTTGGATATATTCAAAAATGTTAATATACAGTTGTATTCTACTAAAAACTCTATTTTCATTTAATTAAATTCAATACTTTTATAATTATTTTATTTTTACCATTTTAATTTAAGAGGTTATTATGATTGACTTGTTTCTATTTGATAGTTTGATGTATTTTGATTGGAATAATACCCCATGCTTGTCGTGGGTTTAAATTTGCTATTTTACTTTGTGTGAGATAATTTCTTTTGTTTCTTTGATAGTAATAACAAAAAAAACCCTATGTACATACAAATGGGATGGTCGGGTTGGATTTGGGTCCGGTTATGTAGGTTAGGTGAGTTTCGGGTTAAGGAAATTTTGGGTTATACGGGTCCGGTTTATTTTCGATTTCATGTTGGGTTTGGTTCGGATTGCTCAAATGTTGGGTCATTTGGGTTGGGGTCAATTTTAAAGTTCGAATCTTTTTCGGTGTCGGGTCATATGGTTCGAATATTTTTGGGTTCGAGCCTCAGATTTTCGGGTTCGGGTCATTTAAATATAATTAACCAAATTCAGGTAATTTTGGATTGATCGGGTTCGGGTAATTTTGGGTCTGAACCATTTCAGGTTCGGCTCATTGATGATTTGGGTACGGTCTTTTCGGTCTCGGGTTGGGCGGATTTTTTGGTCAAATAGGGTTGGTTTCAGGTGGTCGGATAGGATGCCCACACTCAGATCAAATTTTGCCATTTCTAATAATAGGCTTCTTTAGAACAAAATTAATAATATGACTAAAATTTAAATTTTCATTTAATTTAAAATATATTGGGTCACATACATTGCACGTGAAAGTGACGTGAAAGTAACGACTATTTTACATAAATGAAGAACTTTGATTATGATGTTGAAAATAATTAATTATTATAATAATTATACATAAATCATAGTATGATTATGAAACTAAATATTGTCACACTAAAGTTGGGATTTGCTTGAAATGGAGTAGTGGACTTTATTTAGGGACATCATTATACTTTCACCTAACATTGAAGCCCAACTTAAATCATTAAGACGTGGGCCAATGTGGAAATTTTGGCCCATGGCAAAGACTTGCACACCCTTTATATTTTTATCTTAAAAGTTTTGCACCAATATATTTTTTTTTCTTACAAGTTACAAATTACTACTACAATGAGAGAACGACTATTTTTTTTTAATTGCAAAGTTTCCTTTTCTTTTATTTTTAGGGAGCATGAATTTGTATTTTAGTTTCGAATTTGTTTATAATAAAGGGAGTTGTTAAACACCGCCCCCTTTTTGTTAGTTACCGCCCCTCATTTGACAGTTTTGCCCTTTGTTTTATTTTCAAAAATTTCAAATCCTCTGCAATCTTCAAGAACGCTCAAGAACATTTCAAATCTTCAAGAATACTTAAGAACGTGGAATAACCGAGAACTCTGGAAATAGATTCGCCATCGAACGAGATAAGAAAAATCGAAAATTTTCGATGCCACCCTCCTAGGGCGGCCCCAACAATTAAATGTTTTATAAATTTAATTTTATTACTTAATATTATTAGTATTATTGAGTAAATTATTTTTTTGTTGTAAAAATTGGTAATTAAATTTTGCAGGTTGAATTGGAAGATTTTGGTGGTGATGGTGTTGATTATAGTTTAGCATTCATGACTGAGGAAACCTTTGACACCGATAATGAGGCAATTCAATGGACAAAAGACATTGCAATTTTGTGGAATTTCGAGTTAGTAATTTCTTCCCACAAAGATGGCGGTAGGAAGAAGATCCTGAGACGTTTCCGTGGTAAACGGTACAGGGGGAATCTAAGAGATTTAGATGCCGCCGTCCGAAGGAATACAAAGACTAAGGCATGTAAATGCCCTTTCCGGGTGAAGGTCCAAGAGTTGTCTCAGTCTCGCCGTTGGAGGATTGTAGCATATCCTGGTCTAAAGGGTACGCACAACCATGGTTTGTCTGTATATCCGAAGGGACATCGACAGAGCAGCAGACTTAGTGCCGTATCAAAGAAAATAGTGCGGGACATGGCTCTATCAAAGTCGTCTGCTATTCACGCGGCTATTATGAAGCAACATCCGGAGGACAATGTTATCAGAAAACAAGTCTACAACTATAGACATGTTTGTGCGGAAGGAGGACTCTGAGGGCAGAGATGTTTTGACTCAGTTTTTTCATCAAGCCAAGGAAAACAACTATGTATGCCATGCGTATGCTGACCCGGACTAGAGTGGTGACTCATCTGTTCATGGCACATCCAGAATCAGTGATTTATTCCGACCTTGTACAGCTTCGATGACCAGGGCCGTACTACGGTAGGCGGCGTCCATATAGGAGGAGGGATGACCTGCACATAACCGAGCTGTCGTAGGGCTCGACCTGGGATGTATGATTCACTCACATCCTGATACTGAATTAAGCCGGTATACAGAGTCCTCGGTAGACCCATAGCCGGACTTCTCCCGTACGGCAACCAGGTCACCTGAATACATATAGAAAAAACGAACACATAGATTAGTCACTAAATTTACCTTATATAGTGACCTATATGATTATTATAAATCAAATGTATATAATTACCTCCGAAGCAATCATGTTGTCAAGACGGCGACGTAATGTCGTCAACCAGTCCGGCGATCTGTCCTCGGGTCGGACAGCCCAACTGGCACACCGAGGCAATGAGGGATCAAGCCGATCACGTGGGGGGCGAAAACATGGGAAGTACTCGTATATCCATGCCTGCAATAGGGTCATGCAACCAACAATACCCTGACAATCTCCTTTACTCGCCACACCTAGCTGACGATATAGATAGGCTAATGCCACAGCTCTCCATGAATATCCGGGGACAGTCGCCAACCCGTCCTTCACCTCGTGCATGCATGAAGGTCTAATCTGATTTCCACTCTTGTCGACAAACAAGGTGGAACCTAACATAACCCAAACCTATGCTATCGCCTGGGTCTCAGGCACCCGATGAGTCCCGCACCTCTGGAAGACCGACTTAGTCAAAACTCCCTCACGATCCCAGTGCAGTGTATTCAAAACCCGCTCATCAACGACCAACTGCTCCATATAGGCAAACTGCATCTCATCATACCCCGGATCCTCGGTAATCAAGTGTCTCCCCACATGCAGCATGATCGTCATCTCACCGAAAGGCAAGTGAAAAGAGTTCGTATCGGGCTGCCACCGCTCGACGAACGCAGAGATAAGTGGACGATCAATCGATCTGAACAGGCTGAAAGGGAGGTGTCCCAACCTAGTACGGTCAATCATCGCCCACGCCTCCCCTGGCATCACCTCGTACCAGTTTCTCAACTTCTGCCAAACATTTGATCTGTTCTAGCACTTCAGCAGTCCTCTCTCCTCGCCCGCAGACATACGTGACGCTACGTGCCCAAGAAAACTGGGAATCACGTCACCGTATGTAGGGCCACCAGGCACTGCATCCCTAACCACCCAGCTATCATCAGTGATGCGGGATCGTCTGGATCGTTTACTGCTCCCTGAAATTCATTTTAAGTAGAATTAATTTATAATATCAAATAATAACTAAAATAATTTATTAAATTAATTCATAAATTAATTTAACCCTAAAACTAATCTAATAAAATCAAATTAATAACTCAAATTGTAACAAACTAAGTACCTGATGTCGATGCAGCACTAGCAAAGCGGCCACCTGTACCCCTCCTAAGAGGGAGATCAATATGTGGGTGGGACTCGGACTCCGAATCAGAAGAAGTATACCTCGTAGCCCCATCAAAACCAGGCTGCTGACCGCGCTCCAACACATCAAGACGAATCTGCTCCCTCACAGCGGCCCTATCCCTCAAAATCTCTGCCCCTCTCTCCCTCTCCCTGTGAATCTGAGCAGCAGCATCAACCTCTATCTCCCTCTGCTCCCTCAAACTCTGAGCAGCAGCATCAGCCTCCCTCTCCCTATAAATCCGAGCAGCCTCAGCCTCTCTCCCCCTTTGCAACCGATCCTGTCTCTCCCTACGAACGGAGGCATTAACATTGCGACTCCTAGTGTGCCTCGCTCCAGAGCTACCCACCTCCTCTCCACCCTGTAAATACAAAATATTAACAACTATAATTAATTAACAACAATTAATCTTAAATAAACTAATTAAGAAATAAAATAAGTCAAATTAATAAATAAACTAATTAAGAATAATTAATTTTAATTAAAACTAATAAACTAAGTAATTAATACTAATATTTAAAATTAGTTCAAATTAAAATTAAGAATTTCAAAATTTTAATTAATTAAATGTTTAATTTTTTTAAAAAAAAATTGGGCATGCCGCACAACTGGTGCGGCATTGCCATGGCTTGCTGCCCATGCCGCCCCAGGGTGGCACAACCCCTTTTCACCAATTTCTAACCCGGATTCAACCTAATTCAACCTAGATTTAAAACTTGTAAATCTTACCATTGTAATCTTGTAGATCGGCCTCGACATGATTTTGTTGAGGATTTCTTGAAGAAATTGAAGATTGAAGTTACGAAATGAAGTTGTTAGAAAATGATGAGAGTTTTAAAAAATATGAACAAAGGGCAAAAGTGTAAAAAAGGGAGCGGCAACTAGCAAAAAGGGAGCGGTGTTTAGCAATCCAGATAATAAAAGAATAAATAATCAATAAAAGCTCGTACTTAAAAAATAAAAAATAATTTAGCAAAATGGAGTGGGTGCCAATGCCATGGCCCATGACCATGGGGCATCAGTGCATCACCACACATGAAATTTTACATTAAGGTTAAGGGAAAAGTTGGAAATAAAAGACCGGGAACGATCGCCAAAAAAAAAAAAAAAAAAGAAAAAAAGAAAAAGACCGGGAACGTGGCAGCTTCCATCTTCAAAAATAAAATGTCACTGAGAAAAATCATCAAACACCTTCCCTCCATTTCCATTACCAAATCTTTCCATCGCTTTGCTTCTTCCCTTTCTGTCCTCTCAACTCAGGTCACGCCATCCGAGCCAGACCCTTATTCTCTTCTAAAGCAGGATCCGATTGACATCTGCCTTTCGATTTGGGTCAAATCTTTCTCTTCACCGCCTACAGCCACTTTCACAAACCTCACTGGCTTCCTCTCGAAGTTCGATCTCTGGGTCTTAGCCTATCAACGATCATGCGCTCATGTGACCGGGACGTTCCCTCCCCGCAACGCTATCCACTCCCAGACTCTCCATTCCCTTCTCTCCCTCCGGAACGCTGTAGTCAACGGCCGCCGTTTCAAGTGGAATGACAAGACCCATCAGCTTATTCGTAGCCCAAACGACAAGCCGTCCACGAGTTTAATGTCAAAGAGGAAACTTCAGGCCATGATTCAATCCCCCGACCCCTGTTTTCAAGACAGGGTTGTTCAAGAGGTACTTTTGATGGTCCTGGAACCGATTTTTGAACGTCGATTTTCAAGCAAATCTCATGCCTTTCGGCCTGGAAGGAGTGCCCATACGGTTATCCGGACTATTCGGAGTAACTTTGCTGGATACCTTTGGTTTCTAAGAGGTGATTTAAGTGAGTTGTTTGATAATGTGGACCCAAATGTAATCATGGGTTGTGTTGAAAAGGTTGTACAAGATAAGAAAGTTTTGAATTTGATTAAATCAGGACTTAATGAGCGTTGTCAGAGAATGAAGAGTGACGTTGCTGATGGTGATGGTGGTGATTTGAAGAGCAAGAGGAAGAAAAAGAGAAAGGCTACTAAGAAGAAGATTTTGAATGAGAATGAGCCGAAACCAGACCCTTATTGGTTGAGGACTTTCTTTGATTTTGCTCCTGAGGAAGCTGCTAAGGTACCTACTTATGGTTTTTGTGGAATTTTAAGTCCTTTACTTGCTAACGTCTGTCTCAATGAATTAGATCAAGTGATGGAAGATAAAATAGTAAAGTTTTTTAGGCCATCTAAGCATGATTCAATATGGAAAGATACAATTAATGATGGATGTCATAATCCATCTTGGCCTGAGTTTGTTCCTTCAAGTGGTAGAGAGAAAACTAGGAAGATGGATTACATAAGATATGGAGGTCATTTCTTGATTGGTATTCGAGGACCCAGAGAGGATGCTGTGCAAATTAGAAAGGAAATAATTGAGTTTTGTGAAAGCGAATTCGGGATAAGGTTGGATAATTCTAAGGTGGAGATAGAGCACATTAGTAGAGGAATTCAATTCTTGGACCATATAATTTGTAGGAGAGTAATACACCCCACCCTTCGTTACACAGCTAGTGGAGGGAACATTGTGAGTCAAAAGGGTGTAGGGACTTTACTGTCAGTCACAGCTAGCTTACAGCAATGTATTCGCCAGTTCAGGCGGCTTCAATTTGTCAAGGGTGATAAAGATCCCGAGCCTCTGCCTTGTACCCCAATGCTCTACTCCAGTCAAGCTCATACAAACTCACAGATGAATAAGTTTCTTGAGACCGTGGCTGATTGGTACAAATATGCTGATAATCGCAAGAAAGTTGTTGGCTTTTGTGCTTATGTGATACGTAGCTCTTTGGCTAAACTCTATGCTGCAAGGTATAGGCTTAAATCTCGTGCAAAGGTGTATAATATAGCTTCACGTGATCTTAGTCGTCCATTGAGGGAGAGTAGCAACAATTCTGCCCCTGAATACTCTGATCTGTTGAGGATGGGACTTGTGGATGCAATTGAAGGTGTTCAGTTCTCTCACATGTCTATGATTCCATCTTGTGATTACACTCCATTTCCAAGGAACTGGGTACCAGACCATGAACAGCTTTTGCAAGAATATATTAGACTACAAGACCCTAAATTCTTCTGCGACTTGCATAGATCGATAAAACGTGAAGGCCTAAGTTTGCCGCAGGATGAGATAGCTGGCATTGTGTGGGATTATAAGACTCTTGGAATTTGGAGATATCAGTCCAATAGTGGCAAAGAAGTAAAGGAGGGTTCATAATAGAAGGTAAGGAAAGTGTACATTCTTTCACACTATTATGAAATAGTTTGTGCTTAGTTTTCTATAATCATTGCACAGTTGTTATCCAGTACAAGCTAATTAAATGTTATTTAAATAGGCTGACTTGGATCCTTTGCCTCTTGGGAAAATTCATTTAATCATGTCTTTTCTGATAAGAAATAGTAAAAACTATATATATATATTTTTTGAAAAGCAATAGTAAAAACTATATACCCTTTTTATGAGCCACATTGGAAAAATAGATCTTGAAGGTACAATGAATATACCCCATGTTCAACCTTGCCTTCATCAGAGATTGAGATTTTGGGATTGTGGAAAGCTAGTCCTTGTTGCATAGTTAAGTGATAGAAACAAAATGATTCTTCTTAAGGGCAGTGGTTTCATTTGATGAGCAGGATATGTAATGTTTGCATTCCTGCTCTGTTGTTCCTTACACAATTCCATTTATTGTAATATACCAACTTGATTCTAAATATTTAATGTTTTTTTCTTTGATTTTTCTTCATTTCATGTTTCTTAGATTCTTTTTCTCATTTAAGCTTATTTTCTTCTTATTTTCTCTCTCTCTCTCCTCTCCCCCCCCCACCCTTCCTTTTATTATTTTTAATAAAAAAGGTTTTCTGTTTTGATTCAACCTCACTACGACCAGCGAGTGGCTTCTATCACCATTGATGAAAGCCTTTAGCACTAATAGGCATGCTCTCTCTCTCTCTCTCTCTCTCTCTTCTTATTTAATTATACTTTGATTTATCTTTTTTCTGATTTCTAGTGCAGCTTTCTAAGGTGTTCAATTAAGACAAATAGGAGGTGTGCCATGTTTATATTTTTTATGCCTCAGTCCATAAATTGTTATTTGCTCTTTTTGTTTTTTGATGCCAATGATTTATTTGCCAGTGAATTGGACTTTCAAGAAATTTGTCTGGTTTTGATTTCTGTTTGTAAACAATCATAGGGTGTTGAGGAAATTTTCAAGGTGCAATTGTAGCTTCCTTTAATTAATTTTAGTGATTTTAACTTACAAATCTTTTATAGTGCATATATTATAGGATAACTTTTTGTTCAGGGAAAACCAACAGACTACAAAGAGCAAATTTCTTTTACGAGCCTTAATGGCTCAAGAGGAGTTTCCATCACATTCAACCTCAAAGCGTTTAGTTTCTCTCAACTCTCAAGTCCTGAGCTGCATAATGTTTGTCTTCTATAACGTTTTATACAATCATTTTACCTCATGATTCTTTTTCCTCTATAGAACTGCCAATGATCTAACACTTAGATGAACCCTTTATATCTCATAAATTCATTCCCTATTCCTTTTATTTTATGATGATGGCATGATAAAGATATTGTCAAGTTGCTGAAACAAGTCATAATGAAAGATAATCAAGATTTCAGTCTAGAGAAACTGCTAAAATTATGTCTCCATATAACAGAACTTCCATGCAATGAAGGCTGAATATGGAGCTAGAAAAACAAAAATAGATACAAATATGGAAAGAGAGAAAAGGTGGGTAATACATGTCATATGATATGTAGCATCCAAATCGTTGGTTCACTGAACAGAACCGATATCTATATCAAAATGAGAGGTCTCCAGAGGTTATATTTTGAAATACTGCGCCTCCTGCTTCTTGAAGGAAACCATCTACTAGTTCTTGAACCACACGGCCCATGGGGTTGTTCCCCACATTGGTTGTATTAGGAGGCTGAACATATTGAGGAGTTGCAGCAAAGGTTGCCAGTCTTGTTGTATAATCATTCATTTGTTGTATAGGCTGAACATGCTGATTAACAGTTAAAATTGCTGTACTTGGCATGTAACAATTCAATTTGTAAGGTTGATTACTATTTGATGAATCAACTTCAGGAACTGTATTTGGAGTTTGAACATATGTTTGTTGTATAGGTATGTCTGGTTGAGAAACATGGTGAGATGTTGAACCTGAATTTGTAAGGTTGGAGCATTTGGAAAATTGGGGAGGGAAACTTCGTGATCTAAGCAGTTGGGGCTGTTGCTGTGTTAGTTGGATGCTTGTGACAGGTTGAGCATAAGTGTTGGCTCTATCACTATGGTCCAGAAGTTGTCCCTGATTTGTATGTTGGACTTGAATTGCTCTGACAGGTTGTGATTGAATATTGGCACCATTGCTGCTGTGCTGCAGTTTTTGCTCTGGTGTGTGTTGAATCCATATAACAGGTTGAGGACGAGTACTGGCTAGAATGTTGTGGCAAAGCGGTTGATTCAGCTGTGTCCGTTCGATCCTTGTGACAGGTTGAAGTTGAATTTGAGATCCATTGGCCTGGCATGGCAGTAGGTTCTGATGTGTTTGTTGGGTTTGGATTGCTCTTACAGGTTGGAATTGAGTACTGGCACTAGCAGTAGGGCATAGAATCTGTTGCATCTCTGTGGCAGGCTGCAATTGGTTGGCCATGGCACAGTTCATGTGAATATCGTAGTTGCAGGTGCCACACCTGTACAGCCATTGGTTTGAACCTAATTGCTTGCAAATGTCGCATTGAAATTTCTTCTTACTATAAGGAGGGCTGAAACAAAGTTCCAGGGTGTGATGGTGGGTACTAGTGTAGACTGATGAAGGCTTATAGATACAGAGAATATGTATATCAAGCTGACAATCTTTACAGTGGTAGCAAAAGCCCGTGCCTAGTTTCCCGCAGGCATTGCACTTGAAGGAGCCAGAAGCATAAACAGGGGACGAAAGAAGAACAAGGGTGTGTTTGGGGTCAACTTGATGCTCCATATCTCGAGGCATCCTGGAGCAACTTTCATGAAGGCAGTAGTTGCAGGTGCTGCAAAAGTAGAACCACCCTGAGGCCTCTAATTTGCAACCTGCACATATATATGTACTTGTGGTTTGTGGTGGAAGATTTTGAAGTTTCAGGGGATGCAAGTGACTGAAATGTTGAATAAGTGGATCCATATCGAGCCCGCCCATCTGTCCTATTGTCTCCATGAAACGATCCTTAATCTGCTGAGGAATGCTGGTGAATTCAGAGGCAATAATAGGACATTTGAACTGCAAGTCATCAATAAGATTGTATGTGAACATGTTATCTCCTGAAAGTTATTTCCCCAAGATCTCACATTATGACAAACCCTGATTGCGACATGCAAGGTTGGTTCTTTTTTTAAAAGAAAAAAAACTTCAATTTTTCCACTGCGTGCCAAGTTGGCCTGCATCAGTTGAGCTTGACATTATCATTGTTTACTTTGTTTGGAATGAAAACAGAATACAATAGCTAATCTAATATACATAAAAATTGACTTTGGACAGGGACAGCTAAGCCAATGGTTTTCACCCTATCTCTGAGCATCGAGGGAAGAAAACAACTGGTACTTTCCTAGTAATCTCTTTCACAAGAAACCTGTCGTTTTAGGTAACTCTTGCCATTGATTCATTGTTTTGCATAGTTCAGTGAATTGTCTCTATTCATCATTTTGCTTTTATTAGCTAGTTATCTCTCTGAATAATACAACTAGATAATATTTCTACCTCTGTTCATCTGTAATTCCGTAAGTCAAATAGCTAATACTTGATCTGCAAGCCTTATGAGTTCGAGGGTATGATAACTTGTTAATTATGGATGTCCTAAGTGGTCTAAATACAAAGCTGAAAAAAAGAAATAAGGAATGATTATAAATGATAGGGACATTATTAGAAAAGTTGTATTTACTTTTATAATTCTCTTATATTTAGAGTTTAGACCTATTTGGATAGATAACTTGTGCAACTCTTTGTACTTCTCTTATTAATGTATGTAGCTATAGTGATGGGTTTCCATGGTCAATTAGTAGACTTTTTTCATCCTTATAATTAGTATCAACGTCATTTTGCCCAAAAAAAAAAAATAGTATCAACGTCGATAAAGTAATGAAGAGATTGACATTTATGAGCATCACATATATTTCATTTATCAGATACTTCAAGATAAAATTGAAAATGAAAATGGGTTCCTATCGCCAAAATTTGGAATTAATGCTAATAACCATGAAGAAAATGTGCTTATATATATCACTAATAACATTAATCTATTGAAGAATTTCCAATATTGTGTAATATTTCACTTATGAAGGAACTATGTCAGCTGTAATTTGTAATTCAATCCAATAATATTAGGAATAAGTTTTTATTTCAGCAAATAAAAGTTTTCAATGTTGTGGGTTACTTTGAAATTGTTACTTGGTGGGAATCATTGGAATTTGCCTTGTAGTAATAATAACTCTAGTGGGTGCTTTCAATTTCATTGCTCTGCGGTCAGGAAATTTTGATTTTCTTAGTGATTAGATATAGCAATTCCAAATGTCTCAATTTGTGATCCTGATACACCATGCAATTGGAGGTAAAACTCATATATTCCTTACATTTGTTCATCAATGATCATAAGATTCATAACAATGCTTGCCAACTAGTAATAGAAGAAATGATAATGAATTTCGACTCAGGTTGAAGGGATGTATTAAGCTAGCAAAATCTTTGAATAGCCAGAGTCTGGTGAACTTACAACAATATGTATTAAAAGGGTTAAAGACGGGGAAAGTTACAAATTATCCTGGATAAATAGCTCTCTACTCTGGATGGAAAATAAGAATCTTGCACACAATCTTTCTTCTCTTCTTTCAACATCTTCCATCCCTGAAAACTGTAGTACTTTTCTCATACTTTGGAGAAAAACAACACTGGAAGAGCTTCCAACAGGAACACCCTGATCCTCCCTGCAAAGATGGAACCTTAACATGATAATGTATTAATCTCTACCCTTTAAAAACATGAAATGGTTTTACCTACATTTGACAAAATATTGTCAAATTCTGTTAATCTATGGAGGGAATCATTAACTGCAGTTAAATAATGTCAACTGTCAAGAGAAGGAAAAACATGCAAACTTTGACAAAATTAATTTCTACAGGACAAATATAACCATGCTAAAGTGGGTTCTTTGGTTAGTTGCGCTTACTATATTCT